AGCCGGGAGATAGATTCCGTAACACAAACATAAAGATGAGAATTTAAGAATAATATACGTTTTCCACCTGCAGTTAACAAAAAAAATTATTGCGCTGCACTACATAAAGACGCATTGAAATGAGCGCAAGCTTTTAGGCATATAGTATTTCCAATTAATTGTCCCAGCAAAAGTGTAAAGTTATGCTTGCAAAACTGCATCATTTTGATGCCGTCAGTGGTGGCGTATTAAATTTCTGATCAACAAAAATTAATAAGCTGTATAACTATATATCTATCGGATGATTTACCTTTACAAGCTTTTACCTACCAAAGTTTTTACACAAGTTTCGGCATTGAACGCAAGCAATATACGAAAAGGAGTCGAAGAAATTAAAGACACAAAAAAGTAAGTTTTATTATTTAGATTTGATGACACAATTTCAAAAAAATTATTTTACTGACAAATCCAACTAAAGACCAACAAAGCTAGATAGAAATCTTTGTTTCAAGTCATGTAATAAGCCAACCAACCTTGTCTGCTCGGTCATTACCGTTAAATATTGGATTTTAGTCTGTGAGTAGATAACCTCGCCGTACGGGCTCTGTATAAAGCTAAAAAGCCCTTGGTCGGATTTATCTTGGTGAAGACCTCACTAAGCTTTGTTAAAGGTTCAACGAAAATATGTTTCCTTCGCGTTAAGTTAATAAAACAAAAGAATGGTTTTTAAAACATAAGCGTTTTAAAACACACGAGTTTTTTATTCCCTCAAATTCATATACGTTATTATTATCTTTGTTATACTGTAACATACCGTTGTTTTTTGTCGTTATAAAAACACTTTGTGAACTTTGACAAGCATTATTCAATGCATTGCAGAAAGCAACTAAAAGAAAAACTACAGAAACGCGCATCAACATCTTGCACAAAAGAATAAAAACACTTTATGTTTGAAAAACGTTTTTGACAACATTTATATAGCCACCATCATGAAGAATAAATTATTTTTTGCACATGCAGCTGTGTTTAATTTACTTAAATTACATAGAAAAGAACTTTTCCCATATTTTGGGCATGTTTCAAGGCCATAAAAGCCGATTTTTGTTTAAATCCTAGAAGCTTGTGGAAATATTTTCTTGCTTGATGATAATGGACAGATTGGTGTATTGGTGAAGAATATAATAAAACATTGTTCACATTAATTACATCCTATGTGATAGACAGCACATTAAGTTAAAAATTCATATATAAATCATTAAGTACACGAATATGTCTTCCTTTCACACAGATCATAGTTAATAATTAATAAAGTCCACCTGCTTTGCTAGCTAAAACATTTGCTAGCTAAAAACGTAGCTTCTACAGACGTCCTGTTTTGTTTTGTGGTTTGAAATTAAATTTGCTAAAATTCCATAATGGTTCTTTAATTACGATATCTAAAGCCATAATATTTACGATAATACCCGAAAAATAATTTTATTGTCAAGTGAATGCAAATTAAAGCTTTTGGGGTACAATTATTAACGTGTCGTTTTTATTATTTATGTCACTATGCAATAATGATAAGTACTCAGTTTATAAATAACGTCAGTTACTCAAACACAGAATGGTCATGGGGATTGGGGAGAAATGGCAAAGTCACATGGGGGGAGGCCTTTTTGGGAAACTTGTGTGTCTACAGGTGGGGTATTTACATGATTTTGTGATTATAATTGAGATCATACATTGTGACTGACTGAGCGTACGTACGATGTAGGATTAGCTAGAAGAGTAGATGATACTGAGGGTTTTCCCTTTTTAAAGTTGTCTTAATCCTTGATTTTCTGGTATTTTGAAAATAAATTTACAAAATACTTTTTTAAGACACGGCCGCTGATTGGTTGAATGCCCGAAAAGCCCGTGTTTCAGAAACTCTATTACAGTCTCGTAATATTATCGCAGATTGCATGGTTTGTGCGGAAACTGTTAATGAGAAAATTTTTCAAACAACATGTCAATGACTTTGCCTTTTTAATATTGCTTTAATAGGCTATTTTATGAATGTACTAAAAACATATTTACTTGTTTCCATTGAGTTATAGAAATACGTACTTGTGAAACTTTTTGAGCAACTCAAATTGCTCGGAAGTACTCGCCGTCGCAATTCGTGCTCGTGCTTGCCACGCAACTTCTTGTTTCTCTCAAACTTTCTCGCGTGTAGGAACACGAAAAATTTTTTCTATTTCTTACATGATAAATAAATGCTTATTTTTATATGTAGCTACATACCTATGCATTAGGTTGACCTTCTCTGTTTAAGCTACTACAACTACTACTAGTCATAGTCTGACAAGGATGTTAAAAAATGCATGCTCCTTGCCTGATAATGTCGTGAATGTTAGCACATTCCAGTAAAAAGAACTGAGATCAGGAACTTATTATGTTAAAGCTAAGATCATTAAACTAAAAATAGATGGAACGCTACCTTAAGAAAATAATTGAAGGCAAGTCTTACACCAGATACGCGTGTGTAGTGTTTCGAGATTTTCTCGCCGAGTGAAAATTGATTGACTACACACGCGTGTCTGGATGTAATCTCGCGTGTCTGGTTTGTTTAATCTACTTAAGTCCGATGTCGAAAAATCTGTGGTCCAAGCTGTTGACGAAGCACAGCCCTTTCAGGTGGAAACAGACGCTTCCGAGTTTGCTCTTTCAGCCACTCTCAACCAAAACGGTCGCCCAGTTGCGTTCTTTTCGAGGATGTTAAGCGGATCAGAACTTAAGCACGCTTCAGTGGAGAAAGAAGCAGCCGCTATCGTAGAAGCCGTGAGGAAGTGGAGACACTACCTTACGGGTAAGCATTTTATGTTAATTACCGATCAGAAGTCAGTAGCTTACATGTTTGACACCAAGCAAAAGAGCAAAATTAAGAACGATAAGATAATGAGATGGAGGATGGAACTATCCACTTACGATTTTGATATAATCTACAGAGCAGGAGAAGAGAATGTACCAGCGGATACATTTTCTAGGATAAGAGCAATGAGCATGACCTCCGATAAGCTGATAGAGCTTCATGAATCCTTGTGTCACCCAGGAATAACGCGGATGGCACATTTTGTAAAAAACCGTAATCTCCCGTTCTCTATGGATGAAATTAAGCTCATGACACAGTCCTGCAAGATATGCAGGGAAAGTAAGCCTCAATATTACAAAACAGAAAATTTCCATTTAGTAAAAGCGACTCAACCCTTCGAGAGACTTAGTTTGGACTTCAAAGGACCATTGCCGACAACTAATCATAATAAGTTTCTTCTTACTATAATAGATGAATATTCAAGATTTCCTTTTGCTTTCGCTTGTAAAGACGTTAGCGCGGAGTCAATTATAAGTTGTCTCTGCGAATTGTTTTCGATTTTCGGTATGCCTGCTTACATACATTCGGATAGAGGTTCTGGCTTTATGAGTGCAAAAGTTAAAGACTTTCTCCTCCAGAAAGGAATCTCGTCAGGCCGAACCACACCATATAACCCAGAAGGGAACGGCGAAGTAGAACGTTTGAACGGCACTCTATGGAAGACTATTTCCCTCGCGATGAAGACGCGAGGACTACCGACCAGCTGCTGGCAAAAAGTTTTGCATGATGCTCTTCATTCCATCAGATCTCTGTTGTGCACCGCTACTAATGTAACACCGCATGAACGCCTCTTTATCCACCAACGAAGATCGACGAGTGGAACTTCCATACCAACGTGGCTATCCAAACCTGGACTGGTACTGTTGAAGCGTCAAGTAAAACAATCTAAGTATGACCCATCTGTCGATGAAGTAGAGCTAATCGAAGCAAATCCTCAGTATGCGCATGTAAAATTTCCTGATGGAAGAGAAGATACCGTAGCTACTAAGTTCCTCGCTCCACAAGCCGAGGAAAAAGAGAAGTTATGCGAGAAACCGCTACCACTATCGCCTTATAAAGATAATACTGTAGACGACCCACGTCAACCTCCTTTGGCCACAAAAGACGCTAGGAAACAAAATAATAGTTCGCCAAAGAAGGAAAGAGAAGGGAACTCACTACTAGAGGATCCTGCTCTACCTGATCAGTCGTCTTCACAACAGACACTACCGTTACGCCGCTCGCAGAGAGAAAAGAAACAACCCGACCGCCTAACATATACATGATATGAAAAAAAAAAAAGGACAATCGGGCAGGACCAGTCTTATTTAGATTATTTAATTTGGATTCTATAGTTATTTCAAATAGGAGAGGGTGATTGTAGTGATTATTACATGAAGTAATCATTACATGATTATCACACCCACCTTAGTAACCGCGCCTAGTTTGAGATAATTATTTATAAAGAGACATTATGTAGTTTTTTTATTTAGTGTTGAGTAAAGCCTTATTTTGAAAGGTTGCTCTTTGTGTATACTTGTATTCAAACTTCTACTACAATGACTTCATCATATATAAACATTGATCCCTCCTTGTTACCTTTTTTTTCAAAGCTCTTTGGTTGCTCAACATAAATATCGCTGTCGATTTTTGAAATTTCAGGATCTGCATGGTATTTTCTACTGCATGTGTGCTGAATAATCACACGAAACGTGTTCATTATTGCAGTTGGTTTGAAATTCCTTATAGTCACGCAATAAAATTTTGCTGGCCAAATCTCTCCGAAAGACGTTGATTTTAATAAAAATCTGTCGAACTATATGACGTTTGTTTCTTTATAGCCAACAAAATACTTAATATTCGCTCCCTTGGGAAAAAGCGAGTTTTGATTTCCCCGGAAAATCGAGATTTTTTTCTATTATTAAACCTTTAAATAACAAACCATAATACGGACTTATAAAATTCAACTTTTCTATTAAATTAAAACACAGTCTCTAAAAACAAAAACTCTTACCTTACGTAAGAAAACCCTCCAATAGAGTGACATAGTTTATTAATTTTACGCTTACAAGTAAATAAAAAGAATTTCAATATCGCCTTACCCATGTTTTGAGTCAAATGCAATGCTGGAAAATTGTAAGCCTGGTTGAAGCCTCATAACACTTGTAATTTTCTTTTTCAAATAAATTTGGTAGATAATGTTCGTGGAGTCAATGTAAAAGATACGACGACCAATCCAGTCAACTGTAATGTCATGAGCAAAAACATTTTTCGCAAAAATTTCGTTTCTAGTCGAGTCAAGATTTCCCCGTTTTATGTCTTTGTCATCAATGTAGTAAAGCACATTCTCAACTACATCAATTTCTATGTCATTATATCTTGATGCATGGTCAGATTTATTCTTACTGGAGCCATTAATAGTGCTGACATGAATATCTCCAGTAATAGAATCAACAGAGTATATTTTATCAAAGCTCATAATAATCAAATATGGCTTTGGATAAACATCTAAAAAAATAATAAAAAAAATATAATTAACAACGATGAGAGTGGATTATAAAAATGCAAATTTTTATAGACTTTCCGATCATAATATTTGGTGAAAGACCAGAATAAGTATTTTCAGAAAGAATTTTTCACTGTAGAAATATTACTAATAACTGAAATTAGACTGGCTGCACAACTTCTACCTATTTTTGTTGAATATTGTTTTTGGTGCTATGAACAAGAAACTATGGAAGTTTGTCAAATCTAAAGATTATACCTTTGTAAAAACACATTTCTGTTTGCATTTGCATCATTTCTTTGTTGTATTGTTTTACTTCCTTGCATGCAGTTGTGTTATCGTCATTGCCATTTTTATCAACGCAAGTTTCCATCCATTCTTTCATGTTGTCTTTTAATGTCTCTAATCTTTTCTTGCAGATTGATATGTCGTCATTACCATTTACTATTTGGCCACTAATAGACAGGATTATGAGAGTCCCAAGAAACGCTTTTGTTGAGCTTGATATCATCTTTATTTTCTATTTATTAGAAGGTGAACGGTTACTAATTTCTTTAAAGCTTTTGTAGTAAAACATTTACTTTATTTATGAAAGGCTTATCATCAATATAATCATATAATCATTTGTTCTTAAACTTTTTTTGGTATATAAATCAAGTATTGATTTCTATAATTATGTAACATTTTAACTTCCTTCTCTAAAAAGTATTTTCACGTTTGCTTTCAGATAATTTATGATGATTGGATATTGTTGCAATAGATTAGACAAATTGTTCATTACAAAGACTCATGTTTACAACAATTCATGTAAGTAGAGTTCATCCGCCTAGAACGTGTTGGGAATAAATAGACGCAGGGTTTCTAGCAAACGAAAGCATAGAAAGAAATAAAACATTTCAATGTCCACTATAAGGAAATGACGCAATATATGAAATTCACCAAGAGCGGTTTAGAAAAAATTTAAAATGGGTTGATTTCAAATTTGCTCATGTTAACTCAGTTTACCAGTTGAATGGGAAAGACGTATTGCTTAACTAAGCCAGCAAAATTAAATGCCAAATAATCTGTTGCCCAGTGTTTAACAGACTAGCAGGCCTCTCTGTAACTACATGTCGTCTAGTTACAGAAACGAAGGCCGTTAAACAATACATGATATTCTGCTTTACAACATCTGTCAGTCGTGTAGAGAAGTTCGACTCTCATAATTATATAAATCCTGAATTGAATGAAATTTATGAGTATTTTGTCAGAACTGCTAAAGTTAAAGTGGTACTAAAACGAAAACTGAACGTTAAAAAATCATCGATTTTAGCATTCAATAGTTTAAACACATATCAATTATTGCTTTAGTAAAATTTAAGCAAAAATAATAGTATAACGAGGGAGTTATGAACATTTGAAATGTCTAATTTTCATGTCCGCCATTAAAATCGGCCATTTTGAATATTTGCAATCAGCAAAGGTCTGTGACGTCATATTCTTAACACGGCAAGAAGCGCACATTGGAAAGTATACAAAGTAATATATAAACAGAGCAAAAATGTCAAATTCATCGAGATCTAGCTCGCTTTCTGAGTCTTCGATCGAGACAAACGCATCAATTTCTTCATCGGAATTCATGACGGCAAATTCGGACGAATCTAATTCGGAAATTTTGCCATTTGCCGATAATATTGAACCGCTTGCTTCGCCCGATGAAATTGCTGAGTACGAAGCTGCAGTCGCAGAAGAACGGCAGGTTGAGGACATGCTGCAAGATCGTTTTGATGCCCGTGTTGATGTTACTTCATGGTAAGATGTCATTCTTAGTGTGTTACTTTGATCTGAATCGTCTGCCGTTAGCTATGATAACTTTATGGAAACATACAATTTGGCCAATATTAAAGGTGTGAATGTGGCCATTGTTCGTTGGATCTTGTTGTCAACCCTCAAGAGTGCCGATGCTGCATGGAATTAGAGCAATGCCGTGGCAAAATGAATCAGTTCGAAGTCGATGAAAGAAAATGCATTTTGGATCACCCTGGCTTTAACGAAGTTTGCCTGAACGAATTTGTTCTTCAAGCAGCTTCGTTAGGTTTAAAGACCAAAGATCATCGCAGTTATGCGACCGTTTTTCGAGATGGTCAAAAGACCAGAGAGGAGTAAGCCTTTTTCTTTGTGAAAATTCTAAAAATATTATTTTGTGCGCCTGCGTCTATGTTTACTTTTTGAAATTTATAGGTTCTTTCGAGCAGTATCGTACAGACAACTCGTGCGTCTTGTATGGGACTTTACAGGCAGCTCCAGACATTTGCCACTGCCTTGTTGTTGTTACAACAAAATACGGACGACATTTCCGAACAATAAGTGTCTTCCTTACAAAGGATTCGAAGAGGATGAGGACATATAGCAATGTAAAAAGGTGATGGAAAAAGCTATTATAGGTGGTATATTTACAAAATTTACAAATATACATTTATATTATTGACAACTGCCCTTCTTGTGACCTTTCATAGGCTTTGCACATTTCTTGCACAATGGATTTCTTTTTTTAGCTGTATGCTCTTGACCTGTACCAAGCAAATCTTGTAATTCTTCATCTGTGCATGTGGGGGGACAGTCAGTGTTAAGTTTACGTTTTCGAGAACGAAACAAGGTAATTGCATCAACTTTTGCTTGCTTTTCAGAAAGCATCATGTGCATTGGCTCTGGAGTGTGTCTCCTCAATTCATTTTCAACTTCTTCAAGCTTTTTCCTTGGAGTCTTCAGCAAAGTGTCATAAATTTCTTCAACATATGCTTCAACAAAATTGGTAAATAATCCATTAGTGTTTTGTAAATACAACACATGCATTTAATTTCTCATGCTCATCAATTAAACTCACAGAAGTCTTGCTTCACCCTAACATTTCGTACAGTTCCTTCTCCCTCCTTATACTTTGGATATGTGAACCGAAGACGGGTTTCGCCATCAAGTGTAGTCTTGCTAGCCCTCCGCAAATTAAAGTTGAAATGTAATGCTGCTAAGATGGACCTACAATGAAAATTATTAGTTAACTTTATTTCATTATCACATAATCTTTGTCTTGAATTTTATCAAACTGTGATTTTTAGTTTACCTGCAATACATGCCAGAATAAGAGAAATGAATCATTTTTGGTGCGAAATGATTAACAACTGAATGGTATCCCTCCAAACAGCTGGTCTGGGCAACAGAAGATGCTTGTTTGATAGCTTTAACAAGTTTCTTTTTGGTAAGTGCATCTTTCAACTTTTCATAAGCAACAGATCCTAGATGAATATTATTCCAACTATTTGACTTACTTGGGTTTTTTATCATGTTGCTTAGAGTTAGCGTATTGAAGTCAACAAATGTAATGATATTCTTTTAAACTCAAAATATTGTACCCTTTGTTAACCACACTCTTTGCTTTAGGACATCACTGTGACTGCATCTGCTGTAAATCGTATTTGGAAAGTCTTCGTTTTTATTCAAAAATTGATAGAAAAAAGATTCAAATTTGGCCCATTTAACTTCTCCAATTCCAGATAAAGTAGATGTAGCAGCCCAATAGAAATGTCGTACGCATGCTTTTCTCCATCTTCCTAGGATTTGGCAGTCTTTTTCTTTTGCCAATGTAATCATGATCTTCTGAATCTCTATAAGATAAGAATAACATGCTGTTGTAAACAATTTTCACTGATATGTCATGGTGTAGGTATATATATAACTTAATACTTTTTCCAATGTGCCACAGGTCATAGAAATGCTGGATGACTGGTTTCCCCAATTCTTTGCACAGTTTTGGACATGTTTCCCTCATCCATTTGGCTATGGTGGCATGTCGATCTGATACGAATGTTGTTATTATTAGGCCAGTTGTAAGGAGAAATGACATGGCCTTTTGGTGACCAAGAGCCTCCATAGCTGAACTACTCCCTGCTTGGTTTGCCTTTGACAAAAATGTGAGTGACATATGTTCAAGTATTTGGAACAAATTAATTTTATTGTTAGCCAGTAAAACTACCTGTACAACAACCAAATGAATGATTAATCCAATTGTGCAGCAAAATATTGTGTATGTGCCATACTTTGCTGAATGACCCATACTGTCATGCCGCCCATCTCCTGACAATACAACTTCTTTTCCTTCTAGAGATTCCAATATCTTTTTTTGATAATTACGCCAATATAAAACAATGGAAGGAAACAGAAAGTGTCTCTGGTGATAATAATATGCGACTTCACTGTAGCTGATCAACCCCATGTTCTTGAACACTTGAAGTACCTGTACAATGCCATTGGTTTATGGAGTACTGAATATCTGTGATTGAGATGATACATTGCTACATACTTCCTCACCTTTTTTACTGAAGCACCTGCACACAAAATAGCAAAACTAAGCAAAATATTGCCAGCTGGAAACTTTCCAAAAAGATATGGTTGACTTTTCCAGGTAAAGCTTTCTTTACAGTTACTGCACTGACTTTCAATAATCAACAGAGTGCCACAACAACTTGTTTTCACTTTTGGGTTGGGGTGAAAGCAATGATGACAGTGTTGAAAAAGCAAAAGTAGCTGAGAAAGGAAAACAATTCCCTTTGGCTCATCTCTTTTGTTTGTTCCTTCATTTACTCTGATAATGAAAGAAACATTACTGTAAATGCAGAAATTATCACAAAACTTGTTACACATACACGCATAGAAAGCGTTATTTTAAATTACCGATTGCGAGTTAAATTATCATCATCGTCTGCAGTGTTCTCATATTCCCTCCTCAACTGCTCAGGCTCCCAGAGAGGGTCTGTATTGTATGGATCTTTCTGTTTCGTTTCTTCACTATCACACATATATGTGTCCATATCCTCCATAAGTTCTTCAGAAATCTGGTCTAAATTACGACAAAGATGTAGTGGTTTTTTTTTATACATGCTGTTTTTGTTGAAGTGTGAGCCGTTGATATTTTAACACTAGCCTTCGTTTGCATCTTGTAAATGAACATGTTCTGTCGTAGGATTCTTTTTATCTGAAAAAACATTGAAATTTGTTTTTATTACTATAGTCTCCTTTTGTGAATTGAAACTTTAAACGTAAATAATGTATACTGGGGTCAGTTCTCTCATCGGTTACAGTTTCTCTTGATATTAAATTAGTCGTCCGTATCCATTGCGTTTGATTGATAGCTAATTTCGTGTGCAGTTTTGTAAGTTCTCCATGCAACATCTTTAATTCACTATCTTTTTTCTTGCAACTCTCACAGGACGCCGTAGCATGATCCTGAAAGTTTAAAAAAATGTCTACAAAAGTTATACAAAAATATATTTCAAAGATACAAACCGGTTCATTTTCTTTGTTTTCCGTGTAATTAGGTGCATCGGGCGTGATCTGTTGGTCCTGTAAGAATATTGAGGAATAGTTGTTTTACGAAGTGCACGTATGTGTGAAGAGCAATTGTTGGCTTTACGTATGCATCATTCTCAGATTGGTCTGGAATTTCAGTTGTGCCTTTTTTCTTCTTGAAAATAGCACGAATCTTCTTTCTTCATGCATGATACAGACACTTCATTTTGTATTTCCTTTAAAACCTTAGTATAAATGTATATTATATATTGAAAGTTTGCCTGGATGTATTATTGGTTCTCTCAAATTGTGAAAATTTATCATCTGCAATATGTGTAAGTATATAATAGTTGTAACTTGTGCTAACCTGACGCCGCTCTCTTGAAGTTGTTGGTGTTGGCGATTTCTTCCAAATAGTAGGTACGGCACCAGGTTTGAGCCGTCTAGTCATACCACCCAAATGGAAAAAACGCTCAAAACAATCATCCGAGAAGTGATTCGAACAAATCATAAATCGAATTTCGCGCGAACTCGGATTAAAGTTTGCGCGCTTCGTCTCAACAAATTTAACCCAAATTCTTCTTAAAGACTCGTCGTTTGGGCTTTTATGTAATGAAATGCCTGTACTTCTATCAGACGTATTACTGCAATCTTGCACGACACAGCGTGTTGAAGGCATGTTAAAAAATTGAGTTATACAACCTTTTATATCTCTATTTGTATATAGTGTTATATTGTAAACAGCCGCGTGTTAAGAATATGACGTCACAAGCACCTTCCTTCTTGAAAATTCAAATATGGCGCATTTTAATGGCGGCTCTTAAAGTACAAGTTTTATCGCTACGTAACTCGAGCAGCATTAAATACATTGCGCTAAAATTTCGCCAGAAGAGATTTTTTTACATACACTATTAATCTATGAAAAAAAACGGTAGGCAAAATTTTCGTTTTAGTACCACTTTAAGAAAATCTAAAAAGCTAAAAAATTCTTACTTCTTCAAATATTTTGTTTTAGACAATTAAAAGGCATTTGCCATTTGCCAAAAATATTCTTGCAATATTGAATAATTGTAGCAGAAGAAACAAGAGACGAAAAATGTATCATTTGTTCTACATGCATTCCTTGCTTTTTAAAATGACTTCTGTATTGATGTGTGATGATGATTTGCCCCATTTCAATTTGTTCAATTATGTACCTCTCTTTCTTTATCATTTCCCTCAATCCTAAAGCTTAGTTTTAATGTCCAATCAAATATTCTTTATCACACATGCATTCAAGTTTTAGTTTACTATCATTCTCATGTAAAAACGTAAAACAGTTTGCAAATATTTTATTATTCTTAAATGTCTATGATAGTTAAAAAACATTTTTTTGTTATCTCTATTTAAAAAAAAATACTTAATGATGGTTGCTTCCATATTTTTGATGTAGCTACTATTTTCTCTGGCGTATCATTGGAAATATGATATAATATATTTCCAGACATTCATAAATATAAATAAGTAGAACTTTATATTTAGTTGTGATCAATCAATTTGTTTTTGTTTTCATCATAAGGATAAACATAAAATGATAAAAAGATTTCCGAAACGGTAAAAGATTTTTAAAAAATTTTAGACTAGTCAAATTAACAGATGGCAGTTATGTATATATGATGATTAGCTACGCTACTCTAAACTACAGAAAATGTTTAAAAAAACATGCAAAAATGTTTCATAATGCTTTAAGTATTTTATAGGATAAAGATTGTGTTAGATTATCTGTTGGATTACGTATAAGCATGACTATGATAAATGAAATGTATGGTCTTGATAAGGAAGTTAAATCCATAAGAGCTATTGTTTTTGCATTATGTGATAGGCTCTAAATTCTAGGTTTTCTTTATGTTTTCTTTCCTTACCATTGAAGAGGCAATTTGGCTATCAATAAAATTTCTCTTTTGAATTCTGACAATTTGTTTTCTATTCTTCTTAAACAGCAGCTTAGAAAAATACAACTGAATCAGAAATTATCTTGTCCTAAAGTGCTAGTACTATTGGCATTTTGAATTTTGACATTAACACAAGACAAGTACTTTTCTGTGGACGGAGACACAAATTTTGATGATTTTTCATCATTTTTGGGATAAAGAGCCATAATTGCGGAAATTTAGTGTAAGAACAAATATGCAACAAAAATATTGTTTCAACAATTCCAAGAAATACCATTTACATTGAAAACAGACCAAATTATTTTAATTCCTTATAACAACACCCCTGGAAAAAATATGTTTATGATGACGTTATTCAAATTGGTCAACTATTTCAAGTGTCTCTACAAACTAAAAGAAAAATGTGCACTGCAGATGTTAGTTTCCGCTCAAAGATAAGATACTATAAAGCCAAAATGGAGTATTGTCTATAAGCAACTTTAGTTCAATTTTGATAGCTCATTATAACATGGTTTACCTACTTTTTACTTAAACTAACATGAAACTTTCTAAAGTATATCAAATTCAAACAAGGCTAGTTTCTTAGGTGATTATCTTTATACATCCCATTTCACATGATTTTAATTTCTCATGTTTTTAATAAATTTAGTTTATTTTCATGTATTCATTCTCTTTCCTCTCTCAAAAATGCAGAAAATAAGGACAAAAAAGACTCATTAGTGGTTGCAGACCCCCCCGTCATTTATATTTTCAGAGCACAATTTTCGACTTACACTTTACATGATATACATGATATTCTGTTTACAACATCTGTCAGTCGTAAAGAGAAGTTCGACTCTCATAATTATATAAGTTCTGAATTGAATGAAATTTATGAGCATTTCGACAGAATTGCTAATGTAAAAAAAGTCTAAAGAACTAAATAGAGGAATTCAACTTTAAGTATCAAAAAGTTTAATTCTTCAAATATTTTGTTTCAGACAATTAAAAGGTTTTTTCCATCTGTTGAAAATATTCTTGCAATATTGAATAATTGTAGCAAAAGAAACAAGAGACGAAAAATGTATCATTTGTTTTGCATGCATTCCTTGCTTTTAAAATGACTTCTGTATTGATGTTTGATGATGATTTGCCCCATTTCAATTTGTTGAATTATGTACCTCTCTTTCATTATCATTTCCCTCAATCATAAGTCTTAGTTTTAATGTCCAATCAAATATTATTTATCACACATGGATTCAAGCTTTAGTTTAAAATCATTCTCATGTAAAAACGCAAAACACTTTGCAAATATTTTATAATTTTTAAATGTCTATGATAGTTGGAAAACATTTTTTGTTATCTGTATTCAGAACAAAAATACTTAATGATGGTTGCTTCAAATATTTTTGATGTAGCTACTATTTTCTCTGTCGTATTAATGGTAATATTATATAATACATTTCCAGACATTCATAAATATCAATTAGTAGAACTTTATCATTGGTTTTGATCAATCAATTCGTTTTTGTTTTCATCATAAGGATAAATATAAAATGATAAAAAGATTTGCAAAACATTAAAAGTTTTTTTAAGAATTTTAAGTTAGTCAAACTACCAAATGGCAGCTACGTATATATGATGCATGGTTGCGCTATTCTTAACTATAGAAAATGTTTAAAAAAACATACAATAATGTTTCATAATGCTTTAAATAGTTTATAAGATAAAGATTGTGTTAGATTATCTGTTGGATTACGTATAAGCATGACTATGATAAATGAAATGTATGGTCTTCATAAGGAAGTTTAATCAATAAGAGCTATTGTTCTTAAATTTTGTGATAAGCTCTGAATTTAAGGTTTTCTTTATGTTTTCATTACTTACCATTGAAGAGGCAATTTGGCTATCAATAAAATTTCTCTTTTGAATTCTAACGAGTCGTTTTCTATTCTTCTCAAACAGCAGCTTAGAAAAAATATAACTGAAGCAGAAACTGTCTTGTCCTAAAGTGCTAGTAATATTGGCTTTTTGAATTTTGATATCAACACAAGACAAGTACTTTTCTGTGGACGGGGACACAAATTTTGATGATTTTCAATTATACTTTGGATAAAGAGCCGTAATTGCAGAAATTTAGTGTCAGAAAAAATATGCAACAAAAATATTGTTTCAACAATTCGAAGAAATACCTTTTACATTGAAAATAACAGACCAAATTATTTTAATTCCTTATAACAACACCCCGGGAAGAAATATGTTTATTTTGACGTTATTCAAATTGGTCAACTATTTCAAGTGTCTCAATAAACTAAAAGAAAAATGTGCACTCAGGTGTTAGTTTCCGTTCATAGATAAAATACTATAAAGCAAAAAAGGAGTATTGTCTATAAGCAACTTTTGTTTAATTCTATAGCTCATTATAATATGATTTACCCCCTTTTTACTTAACCTAACATAAACTTTCCAAAGTACATCATATTCAAACAACGTTAGTTTCTTAGGTAATTAGCTCTATACATCACATTTCACATGATTTTAATTTCTAATGTTTTTAACAAATTTAGTTCATTTTAACGTATTACTTCCCTTTCCTCTCTCAAGATGCGGAAAATAAGGACAAAAAAAGACAAATTAATGGTTGCGACTCCCTCCCCCCCTAAACATTTTCAGAGAAAAATTAAGACTTACAATTTTCATAAGTTACAATCCTCATACAGGTAAGTGCTTTTTCGTTTTCACCGAATGTATAAAAGCAAAGTTTCTGCACATACTTTTTTATTTTTCTATCATAAATTTTGGCGTACTACGTATGTTTGTGTCTTGTTAACATAATGTCAAATCTAAGTTATTTGGGCCCATTACTTATACAATATGTATAAATGTACATCATTAGATTATAGTTTTGAACAATTTTTCTGAAAATAATAATGATTTTCTACAATTCAGTTTTAAAAATATTACATTGTCATTGAATGAAAAACATTCTCTCAAATTTATTCAGTTTCTACAATAAAAAACGCTTTCTGAAAAAAAATCTGCAAAGAAATGTCTCTTTTGTTACGTTGCTTTTGAGTCAGATTGTGTGACAGGGAATATTTAATACTGATTGCAAAAAATATAAACACCTCTTAAAAAAATTCTTTTTAATGTTTAAATTATTCAACAGCTTAATCCCATTGACGTCATTATATTAGCGTGCTTTAAATTTGCATTGAAATTCTCATGAAGACACTCATATAATATTGCAGTTAAGTTGTTCATTCTCTTCTTTGAGTCACGCAACGTCAACAAGAGTTGTGAATTTTTAGGTTTGAGAAGCCAGTTAGAGAAGTCATAGGACGTAGATGTGGCTCTAACACGCCTTTTTAGAGATTGTACTTTACTCATCATGTTTCTAATACATATCTTGGTCAGGTAGCAATAAACCCAATTTATTCATCTTTTATGCTTTAACATCCATCCAAAAATACTTTAGAAAATTCTCTATGCATGATGCCTTTTAATATTTTTCTTGCATTTACGCAGCATAATAGAAACGCTTTACCTGCTGCTTTAATATTCAAATTTTAAAAATTAGTTTTTTCTTCTAGCAGCTGAAAAGCTGTTTTGTAAATTTCTTATTGACTATATTTACAATGTATGGATCTCTGCAATGTAAGAAATTTCATTATAATTTTGCTATTGTTCAACCGAATAGTTTTTGATATA